TTATAGCGTTCGTCGACGATGAATTCTTGGTTGAACACCTGGGACGTGTCAGTGGGCGCCATAAGCCGGTTTGGGGGGGTGCAAGGCTATCTAAGTACCTTGAACACTTTGCGGTTGGCGAGATCGCCCATGATGGCGGTTGCAGCGGGAATGAGGTAGAGATGATGAGCAGGCAAGAGCAGCTGTCAAGAACACAATAGCGATCGGGGTGGTTTGAAGCACTTGATGTTGCAAAAGTCGGATACGAGGCACAACAAGGCAGGAGGGAGGCGGCGGGAGATATGTCCACAGCTAGGCGCGCGGCCAATGTGACGACTGCGGGGCAGCTGGTGGCGGGCGGTGGGACGCTGAAAACAGACGCAGAATCTTCACCGGGAAGTATGAAGCAATGGGAAAGCGACTGACGGGTTGAAGATGCAGAAAAGCGGTCGTGCTGTGCCCCTTTGCACGCTCCGCGAGAACAAGGTGGGGTTGGTGTCCAGTCGCAGCAAAGACGAGGGGTTCAATGTGGCCGCAATAGGCATGGTCGCCCCTCAGCCACATCGCGCAGACCGCTCCGCCCGCGTTGCCGCCTCTGCCCTACTGCCCTACCACTACTGCCGCCGCCCTATTATCCTGCACGACCCTGACAGTTGCCCTTTGCAGCAGAGGAAGCTTATCATATGCATTGTAGTTAAAATCTGACTACTGCGCTATGTACGTGTATGTGCCAAGGGCGTATACGGTATAAACACTAAGAAAACGTGGCTCGACGTGTGTACTTCACGCGCGACTGTCTAGATGGGGTATTCCACCTGCACGTGCAGGATTCTGAGGTATCACATCCCAAACGCCTGATCCATGGTAAACAGACCCCCGCCAGTTACGCCAAACAATGTAAATGCCAGTCGTCATGTCGCCCCATAATCAACCTTTTACCCTCAAGACTCGTAAGAAAACCGCCTTCTGGACGTGTCTGTGGACCCTTCCAGTGGCGAGATGGGCGAAAGTGCCTCGTCGTCCGCATCCGTCAGTCTTGCTTCTTGTGCGCGATATGGCGGTAGTTGGAAAAATGTGTCCGATGCCTCCAAGAAGGCACCATCTCTAGGCATGCGCGGCGTCACGGGCGATACGTTGTCCGTGGGAAGCCGACCGCTCACCATCGACACCTCCGAGGCCGAGATGGGTGCAATTCTGCGTGACCCATCCTGTGCTGTTGGCAACACATCAGGCGCACCCGTCGGGTCGACGCCGTTGTATCTCCTCTCCCGCACCACCATAGATTCCTTCTCCGAAAGTTCACGGCCGCCTGCTTCCTGGAGCATCGGCATATCGCCGGGCATCTCGTAAATTTGGCGTTCAGTTCCGTCTGCTTCGTTGATAGTAATGGCCCCCTTATCCCTAGCACACCAATTCGATTCATAATGCATAGTCGAGCTGCCCGGCAGTTCGGCTTTGGGAAAGACCATCCTCCCTTCTGCACTGTCCCTCTCCCGCTCGCGTATCGGTGAAATCGGGGGCTCTTCGGGCTTGGGCAGGTCCATCTTACTGGCGGCAGCCGCAGCAACTTCGGCTTCGTACTTGGCCTTGATCGCCTCTAGTTTGCGGTTGTGCCGCCTTCGCCAGAAACACCATCCAATGCCACACACGATTAGTGCGAACAGGAAGCCGGCTCCAACTGCAATCCCGATGACCGCTGCTGATGCTAAAGGGTTCTTTTTAGCAGCGGTGGCATGTGGGATCGCATAGTCGGGCGAGACAATGGGGAGGATATCTGGTGCTTTGCCAAATGTCCAGTCAATCGCGGACACTGAAAAGTTTTGACGCTCCCAGTCAACAGTCAAGTAGGCTTCCTGTAGAAAGTCCTGCCTAGCACCCATTCATGCGTGTCGTTGCCTCTCCGAAGGGGAAAGTACTTCGTCTTGCTTGTTAGTCCTCTGTAAGGTGGTGATGCTTCGAGATCAAATGCAGCATAGGGCAATGTGATTTGCACAGTAGCATCCGTGCTGTATTTTTGGCCAAGTGTAAGTTTGATACTTGGGTTTTGGGCCAAAAGAGTCTGGTGAAGGGTGTGGCTGACGAGGTATAGACCGGTGGCTGCGTTGTATTGCAGTCCAAAGGCATCTTCGAAAGCTTTGCATATCTCGACAGGAAAATATAGCTCTGCAATGGTGGTGTCGATATAAAGGTCCACATTGTTCTTCTTGAGGAGGTCGATGTGCGGCTGCGTAGAGGTGCTGGCCTCAAGACCAACAAGGCCAACGACGAGGTCGCGCTCGTTGTCAGGTGCAAAGATGAAGGTGAGATCATTGGGAATAAGGCGAGAGGCATCGTAGCCGCCAAGTGTAAGGCTTCCGAGGATCGTCTGATCATCTGCATACACACGAGTCAGTGGTGTTGGGGTCAGCGCGTGGAGTCGCCTTACGATACTGGGCACCAGCTGTGTAACCGAACGACAGACTAGGTATGTTCTTCTGCGCAAAGAGGTCGGACAGGTAGCTGGGGACAGGATCTTCAAAGGCACTGAAATTGGTAGGCTTGGGATGCACGCCGATGTGGCCGAGCCAGAAGTTTGGCGTGACGAGAGTGCCAACCGTGGAGTTGGCTACGTAGGGGCCCTCGCTGCCTGCATTCCCCAGACCCACCGAATCGAATCCATACAGTCCATTTCCAACAAGTCCCAGGTTCTTCTCTATCCACAGCTGGTAGAAGCCCTTCTGGTGCCATAGGTGTGAGGTGGTTGTATTGTACAGGAAGCCACGACTGTTCTCGCAGTCGGAGTCGAAGACGTCGAGGGCGGTTACGGCGCCCGTGGTTGGATCAGTGATGTTTGCGATACAGGCCATGCGGTTGATTACCCATATCTGCTGGCTGGCGGTCGAGACGAGTACGCGTACACTCTGCGGGGGGTCCCCTACGAGCAGACTGAACGTGTTCCATGCGCCATCAATGCCCATCCAGCTCTGATCTGGCGCGACCGAGACAGGCGCGGGTACCGAAGCGACATCCGGCAGCAGCTTGAAGTTAGGCGTCTTGGTGATGTTCTTCTGGACATAGTCGGCGTGGCTTGGCATAAACAGCGTGGCGGCGAGGAAGGCGCATGTTGTCGTGAGGAAGGCGCGAGGGCCTGGCAAAGGGAGCATGTTCCGTGACTAAGCGGCGTGGAAGCTGCAACTGGAGCCACTCAACCACAGTCTTGAAGCGAGCGGCATCACCGGATGGCATTGTCTGTCCCCGCCAGCGACACAAGATGGAGAAATGAGGAGAGACGAGGAGGCCGAGGAACCCTACGCAAAAGCACTTGGTATCGAGTTGACCCAGATTGGCCGGACCCTGCAACCAACCCTCAGCCGAGAGCAGGGCAGGGCTATATTGCACAAATGCCTCTAACTAACAAACTTTGTCCCTTGGCCACCACCACGGCTCTTTTCACCTTATCAGCACCCACCGTCTGCTGCGACGTACCAAAACATTCTGAGCGGCAGCGGGCCCTCCCTGTGCGCCGTCTGTTGTGCGCCGTCACCATGCTACCCTACGCTGAACCGCGCGCCGAGCTTGTTCTTCTGTTGCGCACGACGTGTGCCCTAATGCTCCCGTTGCTTTCAGCCGGCATTTCTTCCGCAGCAGGATAGATGAAGCCATATGATCATGCCTGTGAGGGCGCCTGCCACCCTTCCGACCCCTCGTTTCATCCCATAGAGCCATCGAGAACGGTTCGCGCTGCCCGCGCAATCTGGGGGGGGGGGCGTCCGCAGTCTTCGTGGAGCCCGCCGTGGCGCTGCTGCTGCCACCGTACGATGCCCCCAGTCCGGACGTTCCGCCAGCCACTCCCACTGCAAGCTTGAAACAATAGTTCTAGATCCCTTCGCCCTTCACCCTTCGCATTGCGCACTCGCTTTCGCTGCCCTTTTCTTTTCCTAGTCTGGCAGATCGGCACGCTTTTCCCAAATCCCTCTACGCAATCAGCATGCTCAACAGTCCAGGCGGGCAGAACCCCAGTAATAAGCCGGCATATTCGTTCCATAGTGCTGGATTGGATGCTGCGTTGTTTCTGCACCTCACCTGCGTCCTCTTAACGTGGCGTGTCAATCAATGCGAGAGCCGCAAATCGACAGTATGATGCCCTCCCGCTGGCCTCGCATGATGTACAATTAAACCAACTTCTAGTAGTCTGTCGGGTCGTAGGCATGGTTTAGCGAGGGCGGAACGGGTGCGTCTCACCCGACCGAGCAGCGACGAAGCTTTTAACGACTTCAAGCCTCTTTCTAGTCTTTCTAGTCATCCTTACTTTTCAGATGGCCTATTGAACTCTGTAGGTAGCCATGGGCAACATCGATGGATTCCTATCGGTACTGTGGGGTGAGCACGTGTCCGTGTCAATAACCTACAAACAATCGCCCACGCCTAGAAAGGCAGGCCGGCTTCTAGTGGCTTATCCCTACACATCAGGAGAGCAGGGCGTGGACCTGCATGTCACCCGCCCTTGACGTAGAAAGGACCAAAAGGATCATGTTCTGCGAGGCCCTGTACAATGCCATTGGTAATTTCGTTTTTCGCCTACAAACTGGACGCCTAATCTAGTCCGTATTGGAACGAAAAAGGATGCGTCGTACAAGGACTTGTTGGACTGCGCGCAGGGTCTTCACTCCTAGCTCCTGTTGCGATGATCTTCCGGTAGCTTTCTCTTGGGCCATCGTCAAACTGTGCCGTCGGTAGGTCAATAATGACTGGACCCGCTCACCCAGATTGGCCCAGCTGCACTATCGTCTGTCCACCATCCTCTCGGGACGCTTGGGGGTCACGACAGTCGTTGTCTGCAAAGTGAGTGCCTGAGCAGCAACCTACAGTAGATATGGTCCTATCCAACGCCCTTGGCACGCTATTCTTCGCTTCTTTTGCAACGGGAGCCGTGTTCCCTCGCCACGGTAGCGCTGGTAAAACACTCCTATCCAGCCTTGTGGCTTTGTACCGTTGCGTGCTAATCAACCCATCAAGCCCCTTATTCCAACGTCACCTTCACAACGACGTTGTCTGTGACTGCTTCGGCAACACTGCTAGGAAATCTTCCAGTTGCTTCTTATGAGAAACCACTGCAGAGCCTCAACAGCTCTGGTGCCGGAGTCCCTGACGAGTATGCCGTCACGCAACCGACCGTCACGTCAACTTCTGGACCACAGGATCTGTCCATTCTTTCGAACCCCACAGCGTTAGCAACATCGAACGGCCCTCTTGATATAACACTGTCACAATCTGGTGCTCCGTCAATAGCACCCTTTCCCATCGATGACACTGCAACGCTCACTACTCTTGCTTCTAATGCAGCATGCACGATCAACATTCCCAATGCCACTGTGGACTACTGGTTTCCCGCAACTTATAGCTACGAGGTGGCAACGATGACCACCGAGATATTGAACTTCACCAACACGAAGTCATATACTCTTGTACCCAATCCGACCCCGTTTGATGCGTCTTTTGCATTAGAGCATGATTGGTCATGTACCGTTACTGAGTCCTATTATCCCGAATACGATTACACCATCACGATGTGTGAGGCTTACACAGGGAAACCCACTGCTGCGACTACATCTATCGCTTATCGGTCTTCTGGTATCGTTCCTTTCCCCGCGGGCAATGTTATACCTGTTTCGGATGCCACGCTATACGATGTGTATAACCCGGAAACTTTTTCATCGGCCACTGCCACTATTACTCTTGCGCCAAACATTACTCAGACCCAGACTTCTGCTACTCCCTTTGTCTACTTTACGGCCTACGAAGTTGAGTCTGGAAACAAGACTGAGACCGTACAGCTGCGTTCTGTCCAAGCTTACCCATATTGGTTGAAGGGTATCCAAGATGAAAGTACTGCAACAGGCCCACTGCCAGATGGGTTCCTCGAACAAATACCGCAGTCGGCATGCGACGCTGGACAGCTACAAGCCGTGGTGACTGTTATAATCGTGGTCGACCTATACTATCGGAACCGGCCTCTTTTGAACCCACTCATCATCCACGTCGAGTCGTCTGTTCTAGGGTGGGACGACCACCCTGTTATCGTAAACAACTGGGGTGACGAACTTCCACAATCCCCCCCCGCTGCACTCACTGACTGGAATCTCCCAAACACCAAGCCCACTTCCGCCAGCATCAAACCAAACAATCGGCCCGAACCGGTTTCTGCAACTCAAGTACGCGGTGGAAGTGGCGATGGACACAATATCCTGAACCCTCCCGAGCCCACTCGCACTATTGTCGGTTCGATTGGAACAAACCCCGTTGTACTAGGGCCATCTTCAGTAGTTGTAGTGGGCTCGCAGACCCTTCAAGCTGGAGGCCCCGCAATCAATATAGGGGGTGGAACTTCTGTTTCGCTTGCTCCATCTGCCACGGCTATTATTGTGGATGGTATGACCAGTATGCTGCCCCAAGCTCCTCCGCCACGGCCGCCACCAGTCTTAATGATTGGCTCTTCTACATTTACCGCAAACGCCGCTACCCAATTCTTCGTAGAACCAGGTCAGACCTTGACGCCGGGTGGTGTAGCTACTATTGGTGGCCAAGTCGTTAGCCTTGATCAGTCTGCTTCCTTTGTAGTCGTTGCAGGTTCTACTCAAGCTCTGCCAGTGCCAGTTGCTACCAATCCACCACAGATTGTAGTGGGCGGCTCGACAATCTCAGCACAGGCTAGGCCGACTGGGGGTAGCAATCAGAACAATCCCGGCGTGGGTCCTACCTTTGTAATCTCTGGCCAGACACTTATCCCGGGCGGTTCTGCAATCACCGTCCCTGGGACTACGTTGTCACTTGCGCCCTCCGCAGGTGTAGTGGTTATCAACGGAGTAACTTCTACATTGAAAGGCGCGACCGTGCCAGTTGCGACGCCACCGACGGTCACTGTTGGCAATAACGTCTTCTCGCCTCTTCCCAGCTCGGGAAACACATTTGTCGTTGCCGGGCAGACTCTTGCCCCAGGAGGCTCGGCGATTACAGTTTCAGGAACAACTTTGTCGCTTGGACCTTCAGCGTCCTTCCTTGTTGCCAACGGTGCCACGCTCACACTTGATAGCTCTGTTACACAGGCCAATGCCCCTCCCGCTATTACACTCGGCAATGATGTCTTTAGTGCACTGTCAGAACCCTCTGGCCCTACGTTTGTAGTTGCTGGTCAGACACTGATCCCAGGTGGCCCAGCGATAACAGCCCTGGGCACTACGCTATCACTCGCGCCGTCCGCATCCTTTGTTGTGATCAATGGAGCCACTTCGGCCTTGGCAAACCCTTCTTCGTTAACAACTGCGCCTCTTCTGACTATCGGAGACGCAACATTTCGACCACTACCGGGCACCGGGACAGCTTACGTGATCGGGTCAGCATTACTCACCGCAGGTGGTTTTGTAGTGGTATCAGGAACAACAATCTCACTCGCCGCAGGAGCTACAGCTTTAGTCATCGACGGTCAAACAAGTTTCATATCCGCTCTTGCTCAGCCTATCGTTACGAATGCTCCTTTGCTCACTATCGGCACTGAGACATTCACCGCCATGTCTGGGGGTGGCACAGCTTTCATCATCAGAGGACAGACATTGACGCCTGGTGGAACGATTACTGTCTATGGAGATGGTGGGAGAACAACAATAAGTTTGGCGCCTGGAGCCACTGAGTTAATATATGGAATCTCGGGTCGTAGCACTAGGACTGCATTGTTCCCAGCTACCACGACGCGAAGTCAAAGTGTGACCAGTACTTCTGACGCGAGTGCTGGCTCGAGTAGATTAAACGGACAGGCCAAAGCAACGAGTCAGAAGGGGGCGGCAGCCTTGCAGCCAAGATGTCGGAGCTGGATGCTGCTTGCACTGGTTTTCATCCCAGGGTTGTTCCTTGTCTGAGCGAACGGTTTCCAAGTTGATGGATTTTATTTATACTATAATAATAATGAGCAATGCATGGTTAGCCATAGAAGCATGGCTGGCGCCTAACAGTTATGAAGACCGAGTCGTGGACCACTCTCGCCCTGCATTGCCAATGATACAACCTACTCCGACGAACATCACCGTTTCAGCTATCCGTGAGCTCGTATCCGTCGTCGAGCAGTCCGCATCTGTCCGAACTCTTCATAGAACATGTTGGGAACCAGCAAGTCTGAGGTATCTCGCGACATCTGGAAGTTGCACAAATTCCGGCACAGAGATTGAAGGCTCATCACAGTGCAGGCGGTTTATTGATGCATAGACGCCACGGGACATCCACCCACCACCGCGGCTTTGCGGCGCGACTCGCTAACAATAGGACCAACCGTTCAGGGCGAGCGTCAATAAGCACTGTAAATACTGTGTCGCTTCCTTCAGCGTCAAGTGAAGGAGCGCTCCACCGTACTGTGAAGCAGAGGCAGGATGGCACATACGCACGGCAGTATAGCCGGTGGAAAAAAAACCCCGATTCAAGTCGAAACAAACAAGACGTCACGATTCAGACCAACTATCACAAGCAAGTGTGGTTTTGGTACTTTGATGAGGAGCCTCGGGTGGCTCGAAACACCACCCGTTGTCTTGGCAGGCACGGTCCCCTAATCTCCCCCACTCCAAGTTCGTTTCATACCGTCTCGAATGGTGGAATAACTCACCCCACTGCTTGCCGCTCACCGAGCTCCTTTTCTCCGTCGCAGAGCTGGTTCTAGAAGTATTGTTTTTCGATTCAAGTCCGTCATTACATATCCAGGGTGGAATGATTGAAAGAGCACCCCGGTTCGGGCAAAGAAGGCGCAGTGAGGACGGTTAATGCCTCGGAGTTTGTTGATATTGTGCTTGTTTGTTTTAGCAGCAAGGATAAATCGTTCAGCATTGATGGAAACAATCAACTACGAGCACGTCTACGGTTGTAGGCAGCGACGGCATGAGCGGAGCCACCCTTGGCGGTTCAATGCATGAAGTTTCGTTTGACGCCGATGGAGTGGGCAAGGTCGGGCAACTGTTCAAGCTTTTTGGACGTGGTTTCACGATTCCCACAAAATTGGATACTGATTCGACGCTTCGCACTTCGTGCAGGTCCTTTCCGGGCAGATGCATGCAAGCGACGCTGCCAAATCTCTTTCGGGTAATAAGTCATCACATATTATGGGCCCAGGGACCTGAACCAGCCTGGATCCAACGCTCTGCGGCAGCTAGCGAGAGGCTCGTCTCCACATCTAGCGCTAGTAGGCGTGGGATAGATTGATGGATGATGAGTGCCAGTCCACAGAAAGCGGATTCCGTGTAGCTTGGCATGGTCAGCCTTCCTGTCACTGAGGGCACTAATCTTGTCAGAATGCGGCCATGCCGTGTAGGCGGGCAAGTATAAGAGGTACATGTGCCATCAACAGTTGAAGGGCATCAAGCTTGAAGCTGACATTCACTTTCACTCTCTCTTTATCATCACACTCACATTCGATCCATTCGTCTACCATTCTTTCATACAAATTCTATCTTTGAAGATATTCTCTCAGCTTTTTTACTTGAACCAACCAACAACAACAACAACCCAACACAACCAACACTATCATCATGTTCGCCAAGTCTGCTATCATCCTGGCTGCTGCCAACCTCGCCGCTGCGCACACCACCTTCCAGAGCTTTGTCATCAACGGAAAGAACATGGGCCAGCACTTCGCCGTCCAGACCCCTTCCAACGGCAACAACCCCATCCTCGATGTCACCTCCACTGCCATGATCTGCAACGGCGGAAAGGCCACCTCCGACGAGGTTGAGGTTGCCGCCGGCTCCAAGGTCGGCATGCAATGGCACCACAACGATCCCTCCTCCGCCGGCGACGGTGACGACCCGATCGCCCCCTCCCACAAGGGTCCCGTCATGGTCTACATTGCAAAGGCCGACTCCAAGGGCGAGGGCGCCGTCTGGACCAAGATCTACGAGGATGGTCTCTCCGGCGGAAAGTGGGGAGTTGAGAACTTCATCGCCAACAAGGGACTCATCGAGGTCAGCCTGCCCAACCTCGAGCCCGGTAGCTACCTCATCCGCCCTGAGGTCATCGGCCTTCACGAGGCTGCAGCCGAAAAAAAAGCTCAGTTCTACAATGGTTGTGGTCAGATCAAGGTCACTGGCAGCGGCTCCGTCGCCCTCCCTGCTACCGGTGTCGACATGACCAAGGCTTACAAGGCCACTGACCCCGGTGTCAAGTTCGACATCTACAGCGGAAAGACTGATTACACCATCCCCGGCCCCAAGGTCTGGACTGCTTCCAGCAGCGGTGGCTCCGGCTCTACTACCCCTGCTACCCCTGCTACCCCCGCTGATTCTCCCTCTGCCTCTGCCTCTGCTTCCGCCTCGCCCATTGCTGCTCCCTCCAAGCCTGTCGAGTCTACTCCTTCCAACGGCTCCGGCTCCGGTCCTTCCAACGGCGGCTCTGCTCCTTCTACTCCTTCTACTCCTTCCACTCCTTCCACTGGCTCCGGCTCCGGCTCTTCCCTCCCCGAGAGCTTCACCATTGACCAGTTCATCAGCTGGCTCAAGTCCACCACCAGCAGCAAGACCCGCCGCCACGCCCGCGCTTTCAACTTGTAAGCGTCTCACTTCACACTTCTAGTGTAAGCTAGAGCCATCGATGACTTGTCATCTATTGCATATAACCTGGTGTTTTGGAAACATTCATCTGTTGTTTGTTTGTTTGTTTGTTTGCTGGCTCTGAGAGCGAAACCCCCCCCCCCCTTTCTTCAAGGAGAATTCTGTGGATTCTTTGTATTCTTTTTTTCTCTTGTACAGTGGCTGCGAGATCAGCGCTTGGACAGATCTTTTTGAAATGTGTAAATATATAGCATTCATGACGAATTGGATTCGGAACGTTTAAACATTTTTTTCTTGTGCTGTGACTTTGACTGTGATGGTTTGAGACTTTGCCACTTGCCAACCTGCGATTTTCTTGTGATGGACTGAGCAGCTGAATTCGACTTCACGTGCAGGCGATTTACGACATTAAAGGCTGAATGATTTTCATTTTCTATCGTGTAGTCACAGCAGGAACATCGTGATTGTTGAGAACAGAAATTTAGATATAGTTGAGCCAGGGATTGACATCATGATTCCTCTCCCTCTCTTTCTTCCTGGGAAACCTGCAGGATTGGGATGGAGGCGGTGCAGAGACGGTGTACAGTACAGGAACATAAGCGCAGACGTAGAGATGGAAAGCGCATGAGCGTGCTTCTTTCACTAGGAAAACGGGAACAGTTATCCTACTCAACAAGACATCTAATTTATTTACTACTAAACTCTGACACCAACTCCCAAGGCAAGATGGCATTCCTAACCATGACTTTTCGCGCTCGGGGGTACGTAGCAAGCTCATGCGTACGTGGGCTTACTGCACATGCATACCGTCCAAAAACCCACCGGTATGATATTACCGATCTCACAGCCAACACCACCTCCCTCCACCCCCAGGATCACATTTCATCCTACGCAAGGAGCGAGATAAGACACACCGACCACGTGCCGGGTACCTTGTACATGCCCTATCCCTTCCCAGCACGCTGCATTCATGCGCCTATATTACCTTTGTTTCAAAAAACGTCACATTGCCTGCGGACTCGTGGCACAGCATCACAACATCACAGCAAAGCTGCATCCTGTAGGATGATGCCCAAGACCATTGGTTGGAAAAGCATATGTATGCAAATATGGATGTTCTTCGAGACCTATTGGCGACAAAGAATGTCTGAGCTAATTGTACAACAACAAGGGTCATTTTACTCATGCGATGCGAAAAATAACACGACTGAAAAAGTGTGTTTACTTGTAATAAGCAAACGGGATATATGAGTGCGGAAAAGTGGAAAGTAACAGGGGGTATCCGCCGTGAAAGCAATCATGATATCGTGTCTGTGTGCCCAGTGACCAGTCCTAATGCATCGCTATGCCCAGTACAGTGAAGCTGAAATGATGAAGAAGACAAAAGTGGAGAGAAGAAAACTCATAACGTTACATGCAAGACGTTGCGGCCATGGAATGAGAAAAAAACAGACAGAAAAGAGGGGGTGAGCGGCTAAGCTTAGACACCCCACCCACTCCAACCGCGATCCAGAGCTCGCTCGATTGAGCTAATGATTCCGTCAAGAAGCTCACCAAGGCTTTCACCGGGCTTAGAAGACCAAGTATCGACGCCGCTGCTTGGTTCTTCTAGAGGTATGCCTCGTAGGCGGAGTTTGATCCAGAGAAGCAGACTTACACAGCCAGTTTGATGACGAAGTTGGTCGCCTTGACTCTGCTGTACAGGTACCACATCGGAGAACGTGTACATCGCGTCGGAGAGGAAAGAAATGGTATTGATAATGATTTGTGCATGTGATAGGAGCGGGTTCTCTGGGGTTGCCTCGATGATAGGTGATTGTGGTTGACTATGAGCAAGTCCAAAGGCAAGGTCACCTACCCCTGTAGATACTGGCATACGATCTACTGCCTGGGTTGACGATGGATTTGTTGTCGATCGAGCCGCCGATGAGACTGTAATGGCCCACAAGACTAATCCAGAGAAGAAGATGCCCATATCTGTTCCCATCTCGAGCTCTACCATGTCCCTTTGATCTTGTAACGCCTCTCTCAAGATCGTTACAGAGAGGTTCAACGCTTCTCTGACTGGTGGAGTTTCTGATTCGTTGGAAGACCATAGCTGCGCAAGCCATGTTCGGAGTGTTGTCTTCATTGCGTTAAAGACTTGCGGAGATGTGACTTTCTCGGAAAGAATCCATGACTCGCCCCAAACAGCAATCAACGCGCGTAAAGGCGTTACCTGCACAAGTTTGGCCGTAAGTAGTGTTCTTTTGATGATTGGAGAAGTGTCCAGAAGATGTTGGACATCTGGCACGGTTGGGGAGGAGATGTATGGTGAAATATTCTCGTGGAGGTTGTAGTGCGTTGCAAGTAAGACGGAAGACTGAAAAGTGTCCAAAGAGGTTAATGTTGACTCGGGTGTGATTTCGTAAACGTATGTTGGTGTGTAGGATTGTTCCAGTATAGTTGCAGCCCACTCGGCCGAGCCTGTAGCATCCCAGAGGGAGGTATGTTCGGGGAATGGAATCTCAAAGCGAGTATTCTCAATAAGCGAGTGTAAAGTTTCGCGAGCGAGGAGAAGCGGTTGTTGGAACGCCAGAACGTAACAAGATAGCAGCAAGCGTTGCCAGGTTGCTAACTCAACCCAGTGTATCCAACGGTCCGATGCTGTATGCTCAAGCTGAGTAGAAGTTGAGACAAGTTCGCGCAACCGTAAAGTCGTGCTCCTGCAGTTTCCGACGGCTTTGTGATACACTTTGTCGAACCTCGACGACAGTAATTTTCCAGACCGGCGAGCGCGGTATTGGGAGAAAACTTCAATAAGAAACATTGCCTGGAAATCGCATAGCCGTTCCGGGTCGGTCATAGCTTCGTGATCCCTCTTATTATACGTCAGCTGATGTTCTTGTGATTGTGCATAGAACTTACCCGTTCAAGCAGCTTTATACATTGATCATGGAGGTCCCGAGACTTCCTTTTGGCGCCCTTGTCGTTCGAGTAGTGACCACCGATTGAGATCATGGCTGCGTGCAGCATCGGCGACGGGTTCATAAAGGTAGATCTATGGACGACGGGGAAAGTGGGATGAAAGAGCCTCCAGTAATAGTCAAGATATTGCTCAAACGGATAAGTGTGCGCGATTGGAGCCATACCATATTCTCCGAAGAGGATCGCCCCCTCCTCTTCGTCCCTCTGTCCCATTGTCTTGGGACCAAAGTGTCCATACCCAACCATTGGATCGATGCCGGTAGGAATCGACATGCTTGTCATCGGATAAGACACGTTCATGTAGGCAAGGCCTGGGGCAGTAGATCCCTTGTCGCTCTGAGGCCATGGAAAAGCCATGTTCGATGTTGTTGAGGCAGGCGATCGCGGTTGGTAAGACCATGGTTGATCTATAAATGATGCATTTGAGGGAGTGCGTGTTCGATGGTAAGGGGCGTGGCCGTATAGTGGAAAGTCGGTCGGTGCGATCGGTGAAGCGTAGCCGCTAGAAGAGGAGTAGCCCGGTGTGGGGCTGTAAGGTTCGTGCCATAGACCGGGTGTCATGGCGTCGACTGGCATCGAAACTGCTCCAGAGTGGCGAGCAAATTGCGAACGGTGGCCCTTGGAGTGACTGAGAGATGTATGAGTATTTGTATCGGCAATGAAATATGACAATGATCAAGAGACAGGAAATGTGCTCCAAGATGTACAATGAAACTCACTTGGGGGTGGACGTAAAATTCTTGGAAGGATAAGGAAAATGATTGAAACTTGATGAAAGAGCTTGAGGCGTTCGAGGAGTACGAAATGTTGGTTTTGTATACCTTGAGAGTGACGCCGACTCGTTCATGGGAGATACGGGCGCGTAGTAAGATGTTGTTGGAGGAATTGCAGTAGCACTGATTGTGACTGGCTCAAGATCTGGGATGGAAATGGGGATGGATTCAGGCTGCGGAGAAACTTCCTGACTTTGCTGGCGTGAATCGTGTCCGGGGTCGTTGTGCCGCTCCTGGTGCCGAAGCAGGAGATCCATTCTGTAGAAAACTTTATCACAACCAGCAAATTCGCATGAGAGCGCATCATCTTGTGCGTGGTTCTTCTGGTGTCGTCTGTAGCAAAGCATTAGTTGAGTCCTGCTTGGAAGCGAGGCTTGGCCGACCTGAGATGCTCTGCACGCGTGTATGATCTTCCACAGTCGCAGTTGTGCACTTTCAAACCCTTCTTCGCTTTACTGATACGACCAGTCCTGGTGTAGTGGACTGAAGACATTTGGGACGCCATGCTCGTAGAGCTAGAAGCCAACCGTTGTTCAGAGCGGGAGGAGTCGGTGTGGGGGCTGGGCGCTGCCTGTTCGGTGGTTCCAGTACGACGGCGAGAACCAACAATCTTTACACCCTTACGTTTAGTGTTTGATGGCGGTGGGATTTGGTATTGTTCGACGCTGGTTGAAGTTGGTTGAAGTGTAGTGTTGCCTTGGGGATGCTGTAGTTGTTTGGTGGTATGTTCCAATGGGAGGCCTCCTGTCTCACGGGGTTCGGACATGACTGGCAGACGAGGCGGCGGATGGTATATATCTGAACTGGAGATGGTGGGGCTAAGAGAGATCAGAGGCTCAAGTGGGGATGTGGCCAAAGCGTGCTAATAGTTCCAGATCTGGTGGTGGCAGTCGGCTATGAGGCAGTCCTCGTGTCTTGGACGAGTCGGCGTAGCTCCCACGGGATGGAGATGGACGATCGGGCGACGGATTGTCGAGTTAAGAAACCGTCGACCGGGGAGACTAGTGGACGTGGTGTGTTGTAGGCCGGAATGGGAATTAAAGCCGTTCCAAATCAAGGCATTTGCAACAATTGTAGTGATGATATGCTACGCCCAGAAGGGTTTGTGGAGAGGGGACCGTAAATATCTGCGGGCTGTGCCTGGGCCAACCCCGAACGAGCAGCGTACTTGAGGACGGGCTTTGGGTCGTGACGAGGAGAATAGACGCTGCAAGCCCGGTTTACAGGGAGTATACATGGAACTTGCCAGGGATCCGCCATAGGCGGTGCACTGGCCGATCTCATGGCATCTCCATGGGCCTGAGCGCCTGAGCCCACGGGCATGGCTGCGGGCGTGCAACCGAACCGGTTCCGTCAGTGACATTGGGCGACGAGGCGTCCGCGCACCAAAAATGGGACAAGAGAGGCATGGTGAGTGGGCAGTCCAAATGCACCGCTACGCCAGGCTGCGGACCGTTCCCGCCTCAAACTTGACACTGGGTACTAAGAGGAGCGTGGCTTGGAGAGAGCCATGGAGAACCCGAAATAGCGACTCGCGTGGAGCATGACGGCGCTCAGCCTTCCTGCAACGGCGCACCATGCTGCCTGCTTACCCAGACAACGAGGCAGGACCAAAGTATGCTGTCATGGATACCTCATGCCCCTTGCAGAGAAGGCGATCGAAGGGTGGTGAGTAAGGCAGTGGAATCAGGCGCACGATTCGCACGGGTTCGCAACCCTCGCCCCTGCAGAGGAAGACATGTCCGAGTGGGGACTGTCAGGTGTGCTGAGCGGCAGATGTGTAGCCTCGCGTGTAGGCCTGTCAGAGGCCTCGGTGCATTATAACACATGCAGCACGCAGGACGACGGCCATGTACTGTATCACTGCCATACCGTATGTTGTCGCCGAATAGCAAGTCGGCGATGGCTCCAACGGCCAAAGCTGTAACGCACACTTTCTGCTGCATGGCATTACAGCCATGGTCTTGCCATGTTGATTCGCCAAGGTGCAAATATCCAGAGCGTAAGCACGGTAAGCAGACGCTCCGGGGGCACATGAAGCGGCAGCCAGGTTGTCCCGCAGTCCCTGTCTCTTCACCCAATCTCCACACGGCAGCGCGCTATGGGCGTAGGGCTACTCGTGTGAGGCGGGAGGCCTTGAACTTTGCTAGCGTGGCCGCTCGCGCAAAGCTTGGGAGCACGACCACCAAGCTTTTCAGCCTTCCAAGGCACAAGGCAAATGAGTCGCGCCGAAGCACCATGGGCGTGCACTCTGGCCGCGGATTGACACTGGTTCACTGGTCCACTCGTACATGACATGGAGGCTAGAAATTTGATGAGGGTCAACGAGTTTTGCTGGACACGCAGACAGGCAGACGCAGTATAGATGCAGTAGGCAGTAGGCAGCACGTCAGAGCCTTGACCGGTTTTCTGGGCTTAAGCTCTCCTGCATTTACGCGTCCAAACCGCTGCACATCAGAGTGAGCCCAGCCGATAGAGCCGCCTCTAGGTTGGCCATGGCTGTCGGCTGCATCGCGGATTATGGGGGTTCGGGAGCCTGACTGTCGGGCCAGCACCGTTGCTTGAATCACCGTGTGCTGAGCTCATCTGCAACCGAGAGGGTGGATAATTAGGATAGATCCCGGCAACTATGGTAAAGGCTTACATGGGCAGGCGAATTGAAACCCGTGGAGCAGGTCAAGATATGCGGGACATGTTGGTTGCGAGCTGGCGCGTACAGTAAGTTAATGTGGGGTGTGAGAGCGGCCCACGCTGTTATTTCAAAATGCCCACACCCCAGCCAAGACGTGCTCGCACTCGCACTGGCCCGGTCGGCGGCTTTCGCGGTGCGAGTGCGAGGAGCATCACGCTCTCGCACTAAATCTGAGCGCAAACCCATAGCATTTTCTGTTTCTGCTCAAGCGCAGCGAGCGGCATCTGTCCCAGTCTCAAGATGGCGCACGAGGCTGCAGGCCAGCATCAGATAAGCGGTCCACTTGCAGCCTAGTATGCTCCGAGGACGAGGTCTAGTTACTGTAACTTGCCGCATCCTTTCGAGTGCTTCCCATGCTGGACAAGGTCTCGAAGCCGATGCTGTGAGACTCCAAATGCAGGTGCAGGCGACGGAGCATGGCGTAACATGGCATATAGCCGGTAATCACAGTCTTCGGATTGGATTGAATTGCACTGCTTACTTCGGATGAGTAGGTCCCAGGCGTCGGTATGCGTGCGAGGATGCCGTGTGGCTCCAGATGGTGTGGGTAGCATGGGTTGGATGCATGTGGCTGGAAGCGATTGCAAGGGCGAGATTTGGCTGCACTTCAGTCACGGCCCGCGCAATCACTGTGACCTAATCCGATGAAGATGTTTGCGCCGAGACACGTATGGTGTTGATGGCCAGGTCAAGGCATGGTTGCAGCGGTGGGCCAGTGTCAGCTTTGGAGCGTACAAGACACTAAGATATCGTGAGGTCGAGAGCGCCTGCCGTCAGGTCCACATATCGCGGCATGGCAGTTGCCGTGGCCAGCCAAACTTAACGTTAGTTACTGCTTCCAGCCTCGAGGTTAGAAACTGGTCCCGAAGTCAGGCCGGACGACATGATCACGACTTTGTTTCCATCAATCAACACCACGTTCCAGCTACGTGCATCGTCATTCACGGCCGTGGCTTGCCCGTTTTGCATGCTGAGGATACCGCATGTCGCTTTCTCCGAAATGACGTGCCGCGCTCCTCCTCATCCTTCTCCTCGATTGTCGGTGTCCCCGCAGACAGGTCCTTGGGATGAAGCAGGATTCAAGCGGCATCTCAGTTCCAGCAGAGTCTCCCAGCTGCAGGTAATGCCTGTCGCCAGCGGCATGGCTTGATCTGAGTACGCAACCGCAACAGTAAATCACAGCGAAGCACTTGCCGCTCCTTGGACTATTCCCCCCAGCACTTTCACACACACCCCGTCGCTTACTTCATGTGCGCCAATCTATATTCGACACCAACCTGCTCTGCTCTTCACCTATCCGACATCAACCCACAGCCTCACGGTCAGCACATGCCTGTCTCCATCTTCACATCTTGCGCGGGGCAGTTGTACGGGCTGCACCTGCCATCTGCAGGTCTAAACAAGGCTAGCGGGCTGTTCCTTCCCGTTGCTAAAGTTAGCCCGCCGGCATCCCACTCGCACCCGGCCTGTGTCGTAGCTCCCCGGCTAAACTTCCATGAGGCTGAACCAACAGAGTCTGCCTCGCCAAAAACTATCACACGCAGCACCTCATCGTCAGTATCCTCGCCATGACTCCATGCAAAATACAGACAGCCTTCTTAACCAACCCGATTAAGCCCAAGAGCGGCATGTGCGCGTGCTTTTGCGACCATGTTTGCTTTTTCTAAAGGCCCGTTCAGCCTCGCCTAGAATACCTTGCGTCTTGCGTGCAATTGCAAGACCCCTAGACGTCACAGGCTGCTGCCTCCTTCGCAGCCCGAAATTCGAACCGCGATGTCGGTATCTTCGGACTCCCACATCGCACACGCTCGCAGCTCGTGCTCTGCACGCCTAATGCCCACCGAGCCATCATTCGGCTGCGCCAACAACCGAAGCCATAAGCGCTGCCAAGCGAGCTACACCTCACCTAGACATTCACAACTTTCTCACCACCCTCATCGCCGTGCCGGCAGCTTCAATAGCACATCAGCCAATATCTTCAGCCCAACGCGCGCATCTCTGTGAAGAAGTATTGGTCGTTGTGACGCTCTCTTACACTTGTAATTTACACTACCCGGGGGCACTTGACTGGGATCCCTGATGCATTTCCACCTACTCGGTGTGCTTGACATCACCATATCTTTCTCATTCGTTTAATTGCCGCCCGACTACTGCAGCTTACTCTTCTTTGTCATCCACGCATGGACAATGGGTTTTGTGCCTGTTGCAGCCACTACAAACTCCATCGCGAATGCCAACCACGCGACTGGACTCTCTCACTCACTCGATGCACGTGGCCACCTCACCAACTGCATCCCTGAATTTGGCGCTGAGGTGAGATGTGGCCCACGTGACGACCCAATATCGCATACTGAGACACGGTGACATTGAGCAATCTCTTCATCACGGCAGCGGTTGCACGTATGGCTATTGGACAATCCGAGAAGGCTAGACAACGCTCATGCGACCATGCAGGGACAAATGCCACAGGCTAAAATATTTCAAAGTAAGCCGCCTGCCTTGTAGGTTCAACGGCCGCCACAACGGCTGTTGGGGATGAATCTTCAGTCCATACAGCAGATCTAAACATCTAGACCCAGCATGGATGTGATATTGAAACAAGTTGCGAGCGCTTGTTACGGAGTAAGAATTCTGTACAAGGATATGCGCTATCAGCGGTTATGATGATGCCAACACAGTGGCATCCATGGTTGGATGAATGCACTGCTGCGGCAAAGATGCCTACACATGCGGAGTGATGGCCTCTATAGCCCACGTCTCCTCTCTTCCAACATCATACTACTGACAGCGGTCGCATATATGGCCATCGATCAGCACAGAAAATTTTGTTTGTCAAGTGAGGGGCTCCCAGCAACTCCGATGACACGACATGCCCCGTTTCGTATGGCGCAGTACAGCGGACGCTACCAACCGCGCCGCCATCTCCAACAGCTACTAGGACCGTCGTCTTCAACTTCAACTCGTCATCGCATGTTGGTTCAACACGGCACTGTGCCTTTACGGGATCATCCGCTTCGGTAGAGCGCAGCGCTCCGGGCCTTCTCGCTGTGCCTCATGCAGAATTCACGCCTCATCCGTTTCTTCCGCTGTGCTAAAAATGCTCAGCACTTTGATATTCGTTTTACGTAGGACTTTTCGGGGCTTCGAGGTCCGCCGTGCCGCATCGCCACGACACCGCGTTGCCACTATCTGCCTCAGCAGTGAGTCCAACCAAGAACGTTCCGAAGATGAGCTACGCTCTTTAGGCGAAGTTTCCTCTACCTCTGAGCTCAATTCAAGGTGTTGGGGGAGTTTCAAAATGGGGTCTGAAGCCACTGAAACGCGCGTTCTCTGTGTGCCGTCAACCCACACGATCGGCACATGATTCAGTTGGCTTGATGGCCATACGAAGCACGCCCCATGTTTTTCACGTCCATTCACGGCTACCTACTACATAGTCCACTATGCAGCAGTGACAGTGCAGTGATGGCGGAGCTGCGCCAGCGCGAATCGGACCGAAAGGGGATGACTTTGCCTCTCGCTGCTGCCTGGGAAGCACCCATGATGTGGAAATTTTGCAACGATCAGTGCAAGTTTTCAAGTGAGTCAGGAGACAAGAAGGGAATGGCGAGTAGCGGTTTGCTGGACTGAATAGTTGACTAATGGTGATGTTGAAGTCAGACATGACGCAGACGGATTGGAAATTTGATTTGGGATATTCGTTCCGATGAAGAAGTAAATTAGTCTATATCGTGGCAATGGGACACGTTTTCAGTGTTGATATTGGTCATCCGAGAACTTCATCTGCTCCCCTTGGTTGATAATCATCTTACCTTCTGACTGATATCCTATTTGCCGCTCTTTACTCTTTCCTTTTCCCTCTTTCACCCCATCTACATTACTATGACTTCCGGCTTAACTACATAAGCACTTATTTTAACAATCCATAACTTTTTTGACCCGTATTTTCCACAAATCCGACATTGGAATATCCACATTGACGATTGCGTACAAAACAATCAGTTTAACACGCGAGTTCCATGACAATAGATCTCTAGAAATCGGCGCGTGACGTACAAACGAACAGTCTACGAAGTGATAAGGTGTTCAAATCAATATTCTGAACATGTTGGTAGATTACTATATCGCCTCTCGCAGTGCACTGTTGCTTGCCTTAAGCTCCTTCTTCAAGGGTGTACGTCGAATTTGAGTTGGAGAGTACAAGAGGCTGTTATATAAATATCGTATCAGAAACTGTATCAGAAACTTACCTCAACCTAACTCAGGCATGTGAGAAGATGCACTTGGCGAGTAGACTAGCGGGGGTCCAGCGACGATAGTAGGGTGGTGGTTTGAATCGCTGAGATGGATGGAAATGACTGCTATAGTCATGGCCGGAAGATGTGAAGCGTAAACTTGGTTTTTTTTCCTGGTTAGATGTGCAGAGGAAGTGGCTGTTTGTGATTCGGGTAGTAGAGGTGGGTAACTTTTGTTTTTAGTGGCTGAGTAAAGTTGTTTTACAAGGTTTCTTGTGAAGTTCAAGGCATATTGGGCTTATAATGATGTTTTCTGTCGTTTTCAACGATTAATAAGCATGATAGTCTTACATAGATGAGAAGTGAGTGTTGAACAGTGGCCCTGATCCTACGGAATTTTCATGTCTAAGAAACACGCGCATTCATCCTCGCCGTAGAGCCCTCGTCATTCTACTTCTCCCTTGACGCTGCTGACGCAGGCCTTTTGCGCATGCTACAGACTTCCTGGATAACAGATTGAGGGACACGCCATTTTTCATTTTCATCGAAGACTTCCAAGATCCTTGTATTCGGAAATTATGCATGAGCGTTGGCGACCGTTATTCACGCCTCAGAGTAGCGATAGGCCAGGCTTTCCCCCAGCATAAAAACCAAGTATCTTCCGGTCGCAACGTTCGGACTTATTATAAGCCGGTGAAAAAGAAACGACAGAATAAGCAAGAGGAGATCGGCATGCTAGATCGATATGTTTGCGTTTCCGCCACTGCGCCTCCGATTGCAGATATTCCATTTCAGTAGCAAAAGGCGCCCAGTATTTCTGTTCTTGTGGTTACATCCCTTTCGATCAAGAGTCAGACCGCCATGTCGACTCGCGTTCGGGTTGAAGATGATGCTAGCGCGGGTGATCGACACGTCTAGCTACTCCGCGGCATCACATTGACGTCAGAACTCGGCCCTCTTCTCCTTTCCCGCTACCAGACAAACCTAATAAGTAAGGAACTAACGGCATCGAGCCAGAACGCAAAAGTGTAAACTTTCGCATCATCTCAGAAAAGACCTCGATACAGTAGCCTCAGATTCCATTCACGCCCGATCGACAATCCCCGGTCCGAGCACCCTTGTACGGGAATCTCAAAGCCCGTCCTTCCAAGGTTATGAGCGGCAGGTACATGCAGTATACCAATAGTCCTCTGCAGCTTACTGACATAAGTTGCATCCTTCTAGAAACCAAGTACGTTAGTCAATGCCCATTTATCAGTTGCAGTGCAGGAATCGCTTTCAATACATGAAATGCAAGCCACTATGTAAATCGCATCGCCGAGAGACGAAATTCGATCATCTCGATCACGGCACTTGGACATCCCCCTGCATGCCATGGTATTGAACCGGAGCTAGTCCCTCACCAGCTCAAAGTCTCCGCTACATAATAGAATGCAACTATGATTCACCTACCGGAGCTAGAACTATTGAGTTGCAACAAGGTCCAACCTGCCTAGAAGAAGAACCGGGATGTGCAAGAGCACTAGACTAATCGCTGTATCATCATGGTCTGGCCGTTCATCATATAGTGAGATTTGATTCCCTCAATGCATCATGTTCACAGTCTACTACTCACATCAGGCACGACTCGGTATCCCCGGATCTTTGCCAAGGCTTGCGGACTATCATCCGCATCTTGACTGACTCGAACTGTCCGGCACCCGGCGAGATAGACCAGTCGGCCCGCTATTACCATGGACCAGGTACTACAGCATGCCAATGACAGCGCCTCCTTTGTCATCGCCATATCCAAATTCATCCCTGGGAACTCATCCTTGTTGTTGAGCTGAGTGCCAACCTGTTTATGTGGATATGAGGTAGATTTTCGGAAATCTGTGGCGTTCACTAGCCACGTTTCAGGCTAGAAGAGTACAATACGAGTAAATCAACAAAGTGTAATTGGGTCGTTGTTACTCTCCGCAGCCATGTTAGCATCATCGGTAACGAATGCAAAGGCCCGATCTGATGCTTCCCGTCCTGCATGGAGATCTTGATGGGTATTTTCTACAAGCACAAGTGGTAGGGTATGCTGCATCTTCGGCGACTAGTGTTGTAGATCATTCTTGACGTGGACATGCGCGGAAAGTATCTACCGAAATGACTTTGAACACGGTAAGATGTCACACAAAATGTAGAATGCCTGATGGACCTATAAATGTACCCCGCCCTGTGCCCTCCAATAAGTCTTCAACCAGCAAGTGCTCCTTTCCTCCTCCCCTCACAGCACATCAGTTTGTGCTTTCAGCATCATGAGGCTCACTCAAGCGGTCACTCTGGCCCTGCCAGCCATCGTCGCTGCTTACCCCGGCATGATGGGCGCCAACTCCCGTGGGGAAATGGAGGAATACCTTCGAGCCGAGATGGCGCGCGAACAACTGGAGAACCGCGCTGCTGAGCCTGAGGGTGGTCTTCTCTCAGGGTTGTTGGACCCGATTGGAGACCTTGTCGGTGGTCTCTTGACCTCAGTCGGCAATGCCATTGTCAAGCAAGACAACAAGCGCCCCGAGCCCGGCTACGAGTTCAAAGCTCCAGGCCCCAACGACTCCCGTGGTCCATGCCCTGGCTTGAATCTTCTCGCTAATTATGGATACCTTCCCCGCGATGGTTACGTCAACTTCGGACAGGTTCTGGCTGCCACCGCCCGAGGCTTCAACATGGCTACCGATCTTGCCACGGTCCTTGCGACTTTTGCTGTTTTGGGTTCTGGAGACCTTGATGGACTTTCGTTCTACCTTGGCGCGGGAAAGAACGGGATTGGTGGCCTAAACCGTCACTCCGTTGTTGAGGCTGATGTCTCTCCTAATCGTGAAGGTATGTTGTTATCGTTCTTTGCTCATTCTAATGCATTAGCTCACATCAACTAGACTACTACAACGGTTGCGGTGACAACCACCATCTATCGTCTCGCTTGGTGAAGCAGATGGTCGGCTTTGCTGCCCAAGACCCCAAGAAGGAGTTCAACATGAACGTCATGGCCGAGCACTACGCCCAGTCCGCCAGCTTCAGCAAGAACAACAACCCCTTCCTCTACTATTTCCCCTTTCCCCAGATCGTTTCCCTTGGTGCCTTTGCCTTCTACCCTCAGTTTTTCTCCAACGGAACTTATGGCGCAGGCGGAGTACCAAACTACAAGAGCATCATGAGCATCATTGGCGCGGAGTACGACGCAAAGACCAAGGAGTTCAAGTACGTTCCTGAGCGCTGGCCTGAGGACTGGTATCGTCGCGATACACCCTACGGCGCTGTTCAAACCGTCGTTGACGGCTTTCTCAACATCTACCCCCGCAACATCATTGTGCCTGCAGCCGCGCAAGTTGGCACCCCGAATCTGAGCGTGCAGGCTTTGCTCTGCGATGTCTACCAGGGTATCAACTCCATCACCCCTCTTATACTTGGCGGTACCGAGGAGAATCTGGCCAAGGGCGTTTCTTGGGCTCTTTCCGTTTTGGATCCCATCCTCAGCAAGACGGCGCTGGGTTGCCCCGACAGTGTCATCTCGCCTAACCTATTGTTCCCCAACTCGCAGCGAGAGGGTGGCCCAATCAACCCGCCTGTGGTTCCTTCGGATGCCTGGACTGGCGACAACGTGTACAACAAGGTGTACTTTGGTGGCGAATCGCTGCCTATAAAGCCTGAGTGCAGACATTCAAACTAGATGAGTTGGAATGTGGGGATAGGAGATCTTAATGCTCAAAATTTAAACAATTTTGTAATGTCTTTTTGTAATACGATACCAACCCACTTTTTATGCAAGAGCTATGGCTTCCATTTCGAATAATTGGGCTAGTGACGTGATTGATGTGCATTGTTTGGCCATGATTGCGCATCAAGTTGATTGCGGGCAATTAAATTGTCGCGGGCAACGAGATGATATATATTCGAGTAGCCCGTTCCCGATGCAACCATTCTGCAAGGGTATATGTTCTATGTATACTGCAAGTTCTAATACTAGTTTTAAAAAAACTCTATACATTCATAAAGGTCTACCGAGTAGAATGTTGGGAGGTGCCACCTGTATAGGCTAGATAGAATCCGTGCATATGATATCATGTGACACACTCGCTTCGACCTATACCGTCACCACTCCAAGGCACCAACCGCGAAGAAAAAAACCCCAAATCCTTTTTAACAGTACTTCATCTGACCCTCCGTTGACTACCTCACAGCAAAAACGCTTTCCTAAACTGTACACTCGATGGATGGGAAGTACAGGAGGTGAATTCTTTCGTGTGCGCACGAAAGTTTTTCATACCCTCCACATTACCACGGTACCCACCCTTGGCGTACCAAACTATTGAATATCGGTTACATGGTTGTGACGAGAGCTCTACTAAGTTTTTCACTCTTATCTTTCTCACTCTTACATTCTTCACTCTTACCTCCCCTCCATAGACACAGCTCCCTAAAGTTGAACTCTCTCCAACCAACATGGAGTACACAGCATCTAAACCACTCGGACAGGAAACCCTCGAATGCCTCGGTATTCTACTTTTGGCCACAGACAACACACACGCTGCGCGTACGGAGGTTTTCTGCGCCTTTGACAAGATTTTTCATATAGCAGCATACAAAAGATCAGAACCTTGGACTACACCTAAAGAACTAGCAGAGAACATTTGGGAAGAGCGCCTGCAAATGCGTGTTGCCACACCATCCAACTTCTTCAATCATGTATGGGAGGAAATATTGTTGGTCCTAAATGAGTTCTACATTTATCTCAAAGATAAAGAGACACGCACAGAACCTTTCATGGGGCTACGCATGGTTCCACATACCAGGTTCCTCTTGAAGATGCTTCAGAGCGGCTACAATGGCCAACTCGCGGACTTCGCTACCGAGCTGGGAGAGGAGCAGCCGCCTTATGCCGACCCGCCGAGCAACTTGGATGAGATTATTGACCAGCGGAAACACGTTGACCACTTTCCCGCCATGGAAGATGTGTTGCTCGAATGCCAGCAGAATAAGCACGTTGGATTAGCTGCCATTCAGGTGCTCCTCCACGAAGTCGCTTATACCTGTAGCCTGTTTGCGCAAACAGAATGCAATCCCTACGACGACGTTCTGGAATATTTTGCCTCGTACCGCATCAGGCAGCTATGCTACATCTTCTCCAATCCTACAAGTCGCTTAGATCTAAAATCACGTACGTACTGCGCATCCATGAACTACCGCGGTATCGTCGACTTCGTTGTGCTCCAGGCAAGTGAATTGCTTGAGCACTGTGACAGGAAGCTTCTGAGCTGGATGATGTATGCATGGTTTATGCGCTGTGTAGCGTACACATTCGGCGTTGATACCCACCAATACCTCATTGCAAACTTCTACCGTAAAATCGGCCTCGAGGAGGTGGCGGACCCGGAAGCTTATGCAATCGAGAATTTTACGCCGGAAGGTCTCAAGGATAGGTGCATTCCAGGGCCTATGGTGCAGCAGTGGCAACAATACAGTATCGTTCTGCAAGATGTGCAGTTTGAAGCTACCGGGCCACGTATTCAAATTAAGCATATGGCGAAGCCGGTGCAGCCGTTGGGCGATTCAGCATGTGCGGTCTGTTTGGAGGTGTTTGACATTCGGAAGGCGGCAATGGTGGCGTGGAAGGTGGTGTGTGGCCATACATTCCATGCGCCGTGTTTAAAAGAGATGGTGAATAGGATTGAGCCCAACAGCAATTCCTGTCCGCTGTGTAGGAGGAAGATTTGTAGTGCGAGGGAGCGGAGTGCTATCGTGCAGGTTTCTGACGAGGAAGACACGGATTAAAAGGGTCTCAGGCGAGTTGATGAGAGGGGAAGATTGGAAAGACAGAGGCGGATGAGATGGAGATGCCTTGAGACATGGAGCTTGCATAGTTGTGATGGCAGTTGCACGGGATGTTGATAAGTATACACCGATATGCGTTTAGTAATGCCGGAATGAAGCAATCACATGCAATGAAATTTGCTTAATTGTCTAAATACTAAACCAAGCGTCCTTGAACATGTGACAGATGTTCCTTTTTCCTTCCTGGCCATTCTTGTCATTAGAGAACAAAGAAATCGCACAACTGTCATGCTAAGCCAAAGGGTACGTGAGGGCTCGTACGAGTAGGCTCGTAATTTCATCGTTGTGTGGTCGTACCAAGACATGCACAGACGAGATACGAACTGTGTCATACGATTGCCATCCTGTGTTAGGAGGTTGGATAGGGGGGTGAAAGAGACCGTGTTTCAGTAGATAAAGTTAAGCATGTACTAAGCTGTATGCAGACTAGTGAGCCAAATTCCTTGTGCAGATCCACGTGCTTGGGATAT